CAACACGTGTGTTAACAGTACGGCATCTCAGTTTTCAGACATTGCAGAGTACATTCTGCATTAGGCTGTCTTTTCGGTGCAAAGCTGCTCTTCGTTATTTATTTTCGGAAGGGATTTTGAACAGTCAAAGATTGTTATTTCCTTACTGAAAAGTTCTCCGGTGATACCATTTCTAGCAATCAGGAGAATTAAAAGGAGATTTAGTTTTTCTCTTTTGTATTAGATGTAATAGACAGGAAAACTGATTCCATACTGATTTAAACATAAATGTTCCAGTATAGTTGAATTTTTCAGTTGTAAAATGAAAATTCATTTAAGCAGAAATATGACCAAAATCAGCTGTTAGGTTAGTATCAGTTTTGTGGTCTCTACTGATACACATTTCCAGTCTCTGTTTTTAGCAATTTTATGACCATGTTCAATACACTTTTTCACCCACATTCTGATCTCCATCATTTATGCAGTGTCATCCAACATGACCCAGGAACTTTTGAAATGATAATGATAACACAAAATTTTTCCACTTCATAGAAATAATATTTATTTACCTGCAAGGAAGTCAAGAATAGAATCGTTAACATTTAGTATGATAAATTTAGATTCCACAGTATTGATCTAAGAATAGCAGGATTAAAGGGTTGGATCGGATAAGGGGGAAACTCATGTGAATGCCCTCTTTCTGCTTGACCTGTTATTAGTTGAGTTCCAAGTAACAAAGTTTGTATTTTCCATTGCGTATTTTTCCTTTCGGTTGAGTCTTTGGAGCAAAGATAATATTGGTCCCACAACATAAATATGTATAGCAACTCTTCTGGTCTTCCCCATTGATAGAGGAAGGCAACATGAAGTTCATTTGGTTTGTAGGGCACTACAAACTTTTCTAGATCACTGCAATATTTTTGCCAGAGAAAATCTGCCAAAAATAGATTGTGTTTCTCTCTTATAAATCACCATGCAACCTGATAGAATTTTGACTGTTACAAATGAGAATTTACAAACAGATGGTAGAATGTTATTTGGAACATATATATAATAGCAGTGAGATAACAACAACAACAACAACAACAACAACAACAGAGTTGGAAGGGACCTTGGAAGTCTAGTCCAACCCCCTGTTCAGGCAGGAAACCCTATAGTATACTATTTCAGACAAAAGGCTGTCCAGTCTCTTCTTAAAAACTTCCAGTGTTGGAGCATTCACCGCTTCTGGAGGCAGGTTGTTCCACTGATTAATTGTTCTAACTGTCAGGAAAGTTCTCCTTAGTTCTAGGTTGCTTCTCTCTTTGATTAGTTTCCATCCATTGCTTCTTGTCCTGCCTTTTGGTGCTTTGGAGAATAGAAAAATGTAGTAGATTGTGGTCTACTTTATCAAATGTCTTACTGAAGTCCAAGTACATAATATCCACAGCATTCCTCTGATCCACTAATTTTGTCACCTGGTCCAAGAATGCAATAAGATTTGTCTGGCATGTTCTGTTTTTGACAAACTCATGTTGGCTTTTGGTAATGACTTTGTTTGCCCCTAGGTGTTCGCTGATTTGTTGCTTGTTGATCTTTTCCAGAATCTTCCCAGGTATTGAGGTCAGGCTGATAGGTCTGTAATTTCCTGGATCCATTTTTTCCCCTTTTTTGAAGATGGAAACTACATCAGCTCTTTTCCAGTCCTTTGGTAGTTCCCCAGGATCTTTGAAAGATATAGTCCAGTGATTCTGAGATCACATCTGCCAGTTCCTTCAGAACCTTGGGGTGTAATCCATCTGGTCCTGGTGATTTGAACTCGTCTAGGGTGGACAGGTGCTCACTTACCATTTTCTTGCCTATTTTAACTTGTGTTTGTAATCTGTTTTTACGATACTGTTTTTGATAAGTTGGACTGTTTTTTCCCTTTTTGTGTAAAAACGGATGCAAAAAACAAGTTAAGTAGTTCTGCTTTCTCCCTGTTGTTTATCACCTCCTTGCCACTTTCTCCCACTAATGGACCAATCATTTCCTTAACCTTTTTCTTGTTTTTTACATGTTGAAAGAGGCTTTTTTTTTGTTATTTTTTGACTTTTGTCACAAGCCTTAGTTCATTTTGAGCCTTAGCTTTCCTCACTTCATCTTTGCAGGCTGTTTGCTGATATTCTGCCTTAGTTATGTGCCCATCTTTCCACTTTTTATTCTTGTCCTTTTTATCTTTCAATTTATCAGAGAGTTCTTTATGCAGCCATGCCGGTTTCTTTTGAGAACTGTTATTTTTCTACTTTATTGGTATTGTGCTAGACTGGGTTTTTATAAACTCACTTTTCAAAATTTCCCAAACTTCTTGAGTTGTTTTCCCCTTGAGGATTCTCATCCATGGAATCCTTCCCAAGCTCTCTCTAAGTTTATTGAAATTAGCTCTCTTAAAGTCCAAGACTCTAGTTTTACTATGTTCTATTGCTTGTGCTTGCATACGGTTGAATTCTAATATTGCATGATCACTCCCCCCCACCAAGGTTCCTGTGGCTTCAACACCTTCTATCATTTCATCTCTGTTAGTGAGAATTAAGTCCAATATGGCTTATCCCCTAGTTCCCTTCCCTACTTTTTGGGAGAAAAAGTTGTCTGCTAGGTTTGTCAGGAATCTGTTTGATTTTCCACTTGGTGCAGAGTTTGTCTCCCAGTTGATGTCAGGGAAATTAAAGTCCCCCATTACTATTGTGATATGCTTTCTACATACCTTAGTTAACTGACTAGCAAAAAGTTCATCTATTTCCTCTATTTCGTTGGGTGGCCTATAGTATACACCTATGGCAATGTCATCCCCCCCTTTTATATTGATCCAAATGCATTCAAGACAGTTGTCATCATTGTTGTACTCTATTTCTGTAGAGATGTAGTTATTTCTTATATAGAGAGCAATTCCAACTCCTCTTTTATTTGTTCTGTTTCTTTTAAATAATTTAAATCCCTCTAGCTGTATGTTCCATTTGTGGGTTTCACCCCACCATGTTTCCATAATGGCAACAATATCATATTTGCCCTCATTTACCTGAATTTGTAATTCACCCTGTTTATTGCTCATATTCTGTGTGTTGGTTTATACATTTGAGTCTTTTATGACTGACCCTACATAACCTGTGTGGTTCCTGAGTTCCCCTATTTCCTTACCAAGCACTCTTCTCCACACCCTCCAGATGTGTTTCATTGCTTCCAATCAAGAAGGTGATTGACCATCTAGGCTGAAAGACTGCTAAAAAAAAGTTACAATTCTGGGGTCCAACAAGATGACATTGTTTAATGGAAGCGTTCCAAAACCTGTCCCCCCATAGATGTGTAGGATGAGCAAAGATAGTGGGACATATGAACACTATGTGTTGGATTGATTTTGTGATATCAAGTTGTTTTCGACTCCCACCAATAGCTTGTTTAGAATTCCAAAGAAAAATTGTCACTGCAAGATCAAAGGGGCAGCCCAGGATGAATCAATTGTCCAATCCTCTCCTTGCTCAGTAGTGTATTATGCAGATATCTGTGAACCATGCAGATTATTTTCTTCTCCAGTGATTTGCATGCATAAATGCCAAGGTGACATGACACCAGATCCTGTACATGAATCAATTGTTTTTTAAGATGCACATCTTCATCCTGAACAGGATCCTAACTTTGTGAACACAAATACTGTTTGATTCCTTCATCTCCAGCATGGGACCCTGTCCCAAGACACTAAAACCCTCTTAGAACTGTAATCTAATTTTGAAATACAAGCAGTTAGTTCACAATAGTAATAGGGACTTGAATTTCTGTCTCTAAGCAATGCAGTTGTAAAGTGCAACATCACATGACAATACCATTTGCATTCTTTTGTGACTTTTTTTCAGAATCGCATTCTAGCATATACCTCTTGTAGTTCCTACCAGACTTCCATCTCAGTATTGATTCATCCTACCTCTTCATAGCTTCTATTATTTCACTAATTTTGAGTGTGATCATTGAAAAGAATTAAAACTCATTTAGTTTAATGACCAAGACCTTTCCCCTCCACCAAAGAAAGATACCAATCACCAAGCTTGTCATTGCACAGCTTAGTTTTTATTT